TTTTGCCGCGTGGGCGGGGCGGAGCGGCAAGAAGACAAAGGGGGAACCGTATCTGATGGGGAAACGCGGATTGACGTAACACCGGCTCTGCCTGCACTGATAAAGTTTATCTATGTGTTCCCGGTTGGCTGGTGTACCTAACTAAACTAAATGGAACTAGCATTAACCTGATCATGCAGGTTCAGCCTGGTGAGAAGCTTTTGCGCTCTCCTGTCTGCATCACACTGATTTTATATCATTATATTATTATATGTAGTATTATTTTTCCGGTTACACTATGCATCAAACCGTATCGAATGCTTTATCCACTTAGTCAGTGTTAACTTTGATCCAGAAGATCAAAATCTTTTGACTCGTTTTTATTCTCTCTTCTGTCTGGATTCCTTGATGTCATCATTGTATCCGCTGAGCCACAAAGACAAAGACAAAGGCTTTCCAAGTACAATCATAACAACATTTATTAGACGAACAAACTAATGAAGTTGACATAACTCATTATAAAATCACAAAACAGAATCCAATTCAATACTTACTCCACAGACAGCCACACACCAAGACAAACTTATGGGGAACCATTTAACTGACACACCGTTCCCCGGAGACAGCATCACGGGTAAACTTGGAGTGATCTGAAGTTAAGGATCAGAGTCCTATACTTTTAAAGGAGGGGTGTGTTTTCCTTCTCTGCTGTATTCAAATTAGGGGACTGTCCTTAGCTAAGTTCATTTAAATCTAGTTGACTATGTTCCAGTAAAAGCCTGTTTTTTAAGATCAAAGAAGTGTTATTTTCTTTTGAATGGGGTAATGTGTTTTAAGACCCTGTTCCGAGAGGAAGCTCTGGTTTGGCGACAAGACCAGATTGTTTTACATCAGCTGTTAAATCTTATCCAGATCAGCCAAAGGTTAAACTCACACACAGAGCCACGACCCCCTGTGAACACCTGCTCAGTCCAGAGAAACTAGCTGTGTTTTAAATTATAAAGGACTACAAACTAAGTTATTTTAATTCAACTTGGTGTATTATGTTTCAATAGAAATGTCCTACATAAGAGATTATGCTGATTGAACCATGGATATAATTTGGAGTGAATTTTCTTATTTAAAACACTATTAATTTTATCTAATATTGAACATATGGTTAAGTTTTTACAACTAGCGTATTTTAAATTTATTTTCTTAACATCATACAGAGTTAATGTAATACTAAATTGTATTTGTGAACAAACAGAGCTCAAACTTAAAGATTAAACTCATAGCATCAGATTGTAGCTGTGGTAACAAAACAAGCTAACTATGAATATTGTTCTTTGAACTTTTACAAAGTAAACTTGCCAGGTCCTTAAAATCTTGCATTTAAATGTTAATTTAAAATCTTTTAATTTATCTCTCCTGAAATTGAATCAAATTTAGCAGCATTGATGGAGCTCTTGACTTAATTTGGATTAAACAAAAGTGCAAATAATTGCTATTCATTTTAATTGTATATTTTGATTTGTTGTTTTTAAGACTTGTTGTGCGTTTAAGTAGTGTTTCACTGGCGATGTTTTCCCGTAACGTATAATTACCGAGTGATATTTTTAAATTTCCTGTCACCTTAACATCTTTTAATACAAAAACACAGTGAACCACCTCGACACCCTGACCACCGGGCTTAACAAGTTTTCTGGGGGAAACCCTACATGTATTCCAATCACATCCTTGGCCACAGGTGTATAAAATGAAGCACCTAGGCATGCAGAGTGTTTTTACAAACATGTGAAAGATTGTCTCTATCTCAGGAGCTCAGTGAATTCCAGGACGGAACTGTGATAGGACAGTCTGCAGAAATGGGCAGATTTAGGTAAATTAGTGTTTTCTTGTGGAACAATTCTGACTTAATGATCAACACACTCAAATAAAAACATTCTATTGTCTTTCCCATTTTGAACAGTGGTTATAAAAAAACAGAAAAAGTAAAGTAGAAACTAATGTGTCAGTTACATTCAGTCTGGATTTCAAACGAGAGATTAATGTTGCACTAGTCATTTTGTTAAAAACTACTTTTTTGTTTTATTATTTGCATTCAACGAATACTTGCACTCAAACTGATTGTGTATTGTTGCTGAATTAACAGTGAAATTGTGGGTAACACTTTATTTGAAGGGGGGTGAATAAGACTGTCATAACACCGTCATAAACATAAAACCTGTCATGAACATGAATAAGCCTTCATGAATATTTATGACTGTTGTCATAAAGCGTCATTCGGTAAATTATGACACTTTTAATACAAAGTTGACAATATTCTAAATGTCTTTGTTATGACAACTTGACATTAACCAAGAAATCATTACTGATATAAATTTGTTATAAAAGTATTACTGATTGCACTTTAAAAATTAGATAACTTTATGTTATTAAAGGTAAAGTTTAAACAGTAATGATTTCCTGGTTAATGTCAAGTTGTCATGACAAAGACATTTTGAATAATGTCAACTTTGTATTAAAAGTGTCATAATTTACCGAATGACGCTTTATGACAACAGTCATAAATATTCATGAAGGCTTATTCATGTTCATGACAGGTGTTATGTCATGTTTATGACAGTGTCATGACAGTCTTATTCACCCCACTTCAAATAAAGTGTTACCAAATTGGGTTACTCCCATAAAATATGAATATTTTTAAAAACTAAACGTACGTACCATGTTGCAGGGAGAGTGCAGAAACAAGCTAACATTTTTAATTCTAATGACTTTCTTTAAAAAGAACATTTTCTCATTTGGTGATTATTTCAGCTGCACTATCTTATTGTCTTTTTTTAAAATAAAAGTTATCTTTTGCTTCATAACTAGTTAATATTTGAATAGTTAATGTTTGCCTGATGTCTAATTGTAAACTGATATAAATGTGAAACTATGTATGTCTGTGTTTTATGGTTGCTATCACATCTGGCTCTGCCTGCTCTGTGTGTGCGTGTGTGTGCATGTGTGTGTGTCTGTGGTGGGGGGATATTTGTGTAGGAATGCGTCCTCTGCATTATGCTGCATGGCAGGGGAAGACTGAACCAATGAAAATGCTGCTGAAAGCAGGCTCATCAGTCAACGGACAGTCAGATGAAGGACAGATCCCTCTCCACCTGTCAGCTCAGCACGGACATTATGATGGGGTAACTCAGTGTGTGTGACTGTATGTTTCAATGAGGCATGTTTGAAATTAGTTAAATAGACCAGTAATGATGTTGTGTGTCTGTTGCAGTCAGAAATGTTGCTACAACACCAGTCCAACCCTTGTATCTCAGATGCAGCGGGGAAAACTCCCCTGGACCTCGCCTGTGAATTTGGACGTGTTGCAGTAAGTTCAATAAAGAAAAAGAAAGTTTTTAATTTTCTTTGTTTGAACTAACTATCTATATTTGATATTTAAAAGAATGTTGTAGTTTCCTCATAATCAATCAAGTTTATTTATATGGCCCATTTCAGCAACAAGACAGTTCAAAGTGTTTTACACCATAAAGACAAAAACAAAAAAATCACAAAAAAATCATGCAGTCACCAGCTTGAGAACAATATAACATTTTATCAAGTGTCTTTATCAAACGCATCAGTACACATGAATATGTTTGTCAATGTTCCTTTAATTATGGTTCAAAAGCAACTCTGTACAGGCGGGTTTTAGTCTTGATTTAAAGTTTCGTTTCGTAGGTCTGTCTCAATAAGCAATAAAACAATTAATTGCATGATAAATTAAAACAAGCTCATTAATTTCCATTGGCATTCTTTATCGTTTTTCCTTTTTCTCTCTTTCACCATCAACTGTACAATAACAGTATTGAGTGTGGTCCTTTGGTCTCAACTTACTCTTTTTGAAGGAAAGTTTAGTTTTCAGAGACTTCATAATTAACTTTATTTGTTGTTTCTCTTATTTTGCTTTTTTTATTTTGATAGTTAAAATGCTTTCCAGTTCCAGTGTTAAATGTTCATTAGAATTTAAAGTCTATAGATCTTTAATAGGGTGTTTTTGCATGATATGCCATTGCCATTATATTACTTGAAATGGTATCAAAACTACAATATAAGCTTTCATCAAAATAAATTGTAACTTTTAGGACAATTTATTGTCAGCATCATTTGTTTGTGACATATCATGACAAACCTGCTATGTATAATTTTTTTTAATAAAAGTTGCATACTGCAGCTTTAATGGAGAGAATTAGTTTGTAAAATGTAGAGGTTTGTGATATTACTGTGCCTTTAAGCAATTTAGGAAACCAGAGATGATGGTTTCCTAAATTGGTTTGGTATTTTATAAATGGCTTTATAAGCGTCTGATTACATTGTGTTTTTGTATTTTACCTCAAACATGCTGCTTCATTGTGTGATGTCAGAAAAAATTAAAAGAAATAACATTAGACTCTTGGAAGAGCAATTGTGCAGCTCCATATGTCTGGTTCATAATTGAGGATATTTATCATAGGAATGTGCCTCATTATCAATCATAACAATTATATATAAGTGAAAGCCATAACTGTTTTCAGGCATCACACTGCTCAGCAAGGAGACAGATTCTGTGTCCAAGAACAAAATAACTTGTTTTGGTGCAAAATGTTGGAATCAACCACAGGACAAAAACTAAACCATGAAGATGTTTGTTGAACCTGGTGAGATGGTGTCATTATCCACAGTGAAACACATCATGAAAGCCCACTCAGCCATGAAAAAGCATGTTCTCCAACAGTAACCTAAAATCCAGATTACTACTTGTGAATTGATTCAAGGACAAAGAGTCTACATTCTGAAGCTATGTCCTGTGTTTTGATAAAGCTAGCATGGAAGGGATTGGCCATAGTGACCATTATTACAGTTGCTTGGTAAAGAGAGAAGTTTGCAAGCTTAAAAATGTGAGCCCAAGTGTGATGTGTGGCGGTGGCAGCATTGTGTTGTGTAGGTGTTTTGCTGATGGAGGGACAGGTACACTTCACAAAATACATGGGAAGGTCGAACACAAATGGATCTTATGAATGATCAATGACCTTCAGCATACAACCAAACTAATTAGAGATTTAAGGACAATATATTAATGTTTTGGGGTGGCCATCACAAAAGTCTGATTTCTCCTCCACAGAAAATTTGTGGGTAGAGCTGAAAAGTTGTGTGTGAGCAGGGCGGCCTCCAAACAGGAACTAGCCAAAATTCAAGAAACAAATTGTGAGACGTTTGCTCCCAAGTCAAAGTGTTTAATAGGAAATTCTACCAAATACTAAGGAAGTTTAAACTTCTGAATTTGAATAAAGTTTTTAAAAAATTGTGTTTTTATCCAGCATTCATTTGATTGAAGTTCCCACTGATACTGTGTTTTCCTGTTTAGGTGGTCCAGCTCCTGCTCAGCAGCAACATGTGTGCAGCCATGCTGGAGCCGAAACCCTCAGACCCAAATGGAGTCTCCCCGCTGCATCTGGCTGCTAAGAATGGACACATAGACGTGATACGGTCCGAACGATAACTCTTAAATCATAATAGTCATTTAATCTAATCAACAGTACATTCAATGTTTATTATTAATATTAATTTTAAAAAGTACTCCATAGTCTATGCCTGCGTTTGCAGATCACCTTTCACTGAAAGCAAACAGTTACCACTAAGTCAACACTTTTAAGCCCTAAAGCTCCCTAACTCAACACAAAAACCCACTATCCAAATAAATTTCAGAACTGCAGTCCAAATCTTTTCCTGTACATTTGCTTCATAAACAATGAACTAAGGCAGGGGTGGCCAAGTCCAGTCCTCGAGAGCCACCATCCTGCAAGTTTCAGATGCATCCCTGCTTCAACACACCTGAATCAAATGACTGGCTCGTTATCAGGCCTCTGTAGAGCTGATCCCGGTCTGTTGGAGTAAGGATACTTCTAAAACTTGCAGCATGGTGGCTCTCGAGGACTGGACTTGGCCACCCCTGAACTAAGGAAACAATTAGTCTCTTAGATTAGGTAGATTAGCTCTTCAGATACATGACAACATGAAGCATTGTGGCATTATTTATACCACGAGGTTGATTTGGTTACAGTGACGTCAGCCAGCTTTCTTGCCATACAGGAAATAGCAGCCATCTAATCTCTTTTTGCTGGGATATATTGAACCATTAAACCTGATCTCTGACTACACTGATTGCTTTCATCAGATAAAAACGCCAAACTGAAAGCCATCAAGCTGATTCTTAAATTGGAGTTTCACCAATAGGGTTTTTTAAGGCTGCCTGGATGTTGTCCTGACCTGACTTGTAACTTGTAGGAAATTTTTGTTTACTTGGTTCCCGCTCAAATTGGTGTGCAAAAAAAAGAAGAAGCAAAACACAACAGAGCCTGCTTGGTATCTCTATCTAACTGAGTAAAAAAAAAATCTATTGGGTGTGCTGTGGTGGTGCAGGGGTTAAGCACAGTCCTCATATGGAGGTCTCAGTCCTTGACGTGGCTGTCACAGGTTCAATTCCTGGCCTGGTGACCTTTGCCACATGTCATCCCCCTCTCTCATTATCCACTTTCTTGTCAACTAACTATCAAATAAAGGCCACTAGAGCTGATAAAACTTTTAAAAAAATGTAACCACTATAACTCTTGAAAATGGTTGAATAATAACAGACCCTGTTGGATTGCGTCCTAAATCCTTGCTAGCTGTACAGCATTTGTGTTTATATTTTTCATGCTTCAGAATCCTCAGACCCAAATCATTTTGTAATGGTGACTTTATAAAATAAATAAGAGTATAATTTAAGTTGATGTTGCTCTGCAGGTTGTTGATCCAGGCTGGGATAGACATCAACAGACAGTCTGAGTGTGGCACTGCCCTACATCAGGCTGCCCTCTGTGGGAAGACGGAGGTGGTGCGGCTGCTGCTAGACGTAAGTTTGTTGTGTTTGTTTTTCAGCTGAGCAAATTTACACTTCATTGTTCGTCATTCTTTACACTGTGCAGTAAAGAACATTGACATTGCTGGAACATGTTGCATAAACAGACAATCTGGCCAGCCTCATGATGTAACCACACCATCCCTGATACTGATCAGTGATCCAGCTTTGCCCCTTTTTATCTTCTCTCTTTCATTGTAGAGTGGCATCAGTGCAGGAGTGAGAAACACTCTGAGTCAAACTGCCTTGGACATTGTTAACCAGTTTACCACCACACAGGCCAGCAGGGAGATCAAACAGTTACTGAGAGGTGAGGCTGTAAATTCACATCTTCACATTCATACTGACCTCAGCTGTGGGTTAGGGCTCATCTACAACATCAATGTTATAGATGGGTTAGGGCTCATCTATAACATTGCTCCCTCCTGTTTCTACACAATGTTGGAGCAAAAGTAGCTTCCAGGTGTTTAATCAAGAGTCATTGATTAAATGTCCCTCAAATGTCAATCAACATTATTTACACCACAAGGTAGATTTGGTTACAGTGACGTGAGCCAACTTACTTGCCATACAGGAAATTTGATATAAACACACAATAAATACATACAACACATGATTAAAAGAGAACTGGTGTTCAATACTTAAAAAACATAAAAAGAATAAAATAAATACACATAGACTTAAATATAGTATCCTCATTTGGACAACTGAAAAAAGAACAAGAAAATGATGTTAAAACTGTACTAAATTGAATTTTAAAAACTTATGGCAGCAGGCAAAAAATTGGTTTTATAAAAACTGGTTTTACATTTGTAGGCCAAATATCTGCATCCAGAAGTTGCAGTGCAGAGGATGACACATCTTTGCAGATGGATGTAGATCATCTCACCAGTCAGCTTCCTGAACCAATTTACTTCTTGGTTCAGGCAGTGACCATGCGTCAAACAGGCCTTTATTGGTATGAAGCAAGGGAGCAAATGGACTAATTTGCCTAAAGCCATTTCTAAATTTCACAATCAACTCATACAAAGTTGGAGAAGCATGTTTCTATTGTCTTAGATTTTATAACAAAAAAGAAGTAACCTGACATATTCATTAAAATAAATTAAACATGTTTGCTTTAAAAGTTAGGTCATTCTATTGTGGATATTGATGGCAGCTAATTCATGAAAACACAATAAAACTGTAAAACAAAACTTTTTCTTTATCTTAAGATTCAAAAACACTGCAAAGTTACTAACAGCCTCTGTTAGCTATGGCACTCTGTGGAGTGCCTAGCGTTAAATGATAAAGTTACATTTATTTGCCATACAAACCCTTCTGTCTAGAAAAAAATGAAAAACTGAAATGTTTCTTATTTGGGCTGGAAGGGAAAACATTTTCTGAAATACTCTTTACTTTTATGTAACATTCATGTATAGTAATGTATAAAAGTTGATCTGCCCACACCTCTGCTGCCCCAGCTTCTGTTTTCTCACGTATGCCCCTTTGTTCTGTAGATGCATCGGCTGCAATGCAGGTCCGAGCGCTGAAGGATTACTGCAACAACTACGACCTTACCAGCCTCAACATCAAAGCTGGAGACATTATCACGGTACATTCACCAGATTTTGCAACCATTGTAAAAGATTTCATATACTGTAATGCCCTAGTTTTTTTTGTTGTGGCTTTTGTCCCTATTTAGGCCTGTTGTTTCTTTTTAAATATATGTCTTGTGGCATTTCCTGATGGGGGACTTGATTTATTTGTTTCTGAAAGGAACATTTACTGTCTCTGGCCTAGTTGATCAGAGAAAATGACAGAAAAAGTTAGTCCCCAAGACGGGTACAATTAGAAATGAAATGTTCTTTGGCAGACGACTTTTTTATTGCCCAGATAGGGTGTGGAAAAACCAAAACTGCAAAAGTACTATATAGTAAATGAAACAATTTTTTGGCTTTCCTAGCTCCCTACTTAAAATATCTGTCCTTGAAGGCTCCACTAATAAAATATGCAAAAGTATACGAGCTATGTTCCATACATTTCTTTAAGAAAGTTTTGCCTGTCGTTGCTAATGATCTGATCCAAATAGTAACTCATCGCTCTCTTCAGGTGTTTTCCCCCAGGCTTTGAAAACAACAGTTATCAAAGCACTGATAAAAAAGAACCATCTAGAAAAATCACTGCTGCAGAAGTACAGGCCGACCTCCAACCTCCCATTCATCAGCAAAATTATTGAAAAAGCTGTTTTTAAACAATTAAATAAC